TTGTACAAAAAACACTCTGAAAATGCTTAAAAGTCATATGTTTTAAATTTTATAGTGAAAAATACATTTTGAGGTTAGGAAGTTTTTCAGCCACGGCCTTCTTGATCTACTGATCTGACGCTGACGTCATAGCTTAATGTTGGTTTATTGGCAGTTTTACATCCATTGAATGTAGGTTAGAGTACTGAGAGTTCTAGGCCTATTGGAGCAAGTACTTTGGGGCCTATTATGAAACAAATTTACCATAAAATAGGTCTATCCTTAAAGCTATTTTTGCACCAGTAACATTCAGGGAATTCGCCAGTTTTTGAACATTATTAAATTGAATACGAACACAAACATAACCTGTTGGTTGATTTGACTTATTTCAAACTCAAACTACTAACTCAGTCTCTGTACAGAAATAAGAACTAGAACAAAGAATGAAATGAAGCTAGATTGGAATGGAATTTGGAATTGGAAACTTCAACCATTGATAAGATAAAACCATTAAAACCATAGTAAAATATACGTTGGTTAGTCTATGATAAAACCATTGTTTTATCTATGACTAGCTGTAACCCGCGGGCTTTGCCCCGTTTAACTTCTTAATTTTCAAGATTATCTCGTTCGCATGGCTCAATCACGTCCTGGTTGAAGTTTGTTCGCTACGCTCACTCACCTTTAGGTTGGAGCTCGTTCGCTACGCTCACTCACCTTTAGTTGGAGCTCGTTCGCTACGCTCACTCACCTTTAGGTTGGAGCTCGTTCGCTGCGCTCACTTGCCTTCAGTGAAAAAACTTGTTTATACAAAAAAACTGATCTCCGTCTTTCCCGCCAATTTATTGTGGGTCGTTTGTCCGTTTGTCTCGCCCAACTAAAAACACACAATTAAGAATTAGTATACTTATCATTGACTTTATGTGTAGAGATATAAAGTCAATGATACTATCACGGCCGCCTTTCAGACTCGGCCGGCAGGCCTTAGTCATTGCTTGTATAACACTAGTGTTTAGTCAATGCCTTAGCCATCCTTCTTAGACGGGTCACACTAGGCTATAATTTCCAACTTGGCTTAACACAAAAGGGCAAAAGCAACTGTCTACATTTTTTAATAATTAGAGGTTTAACTAATTCTACTAATTCCTGGCATGTATGTAGTGACATTCTTAAAACCTTTTAGTATGTTTCTGATTCATCTTTTAGTGCGTTTAAACACGTGGTATTTTTTAAAAAGTATTTTTATTTATAAATTATTTGTATCCAGTGCCTATCCCACTAACGTCTCTTCTTACGGTTAAGCATCTTTTACTAAAATTATTTCTTTTTCACACACATCCTCAATATTAAGTGATGGTTTATGAGCACCCAAAAAGGACGAAAAGGAAGAACTGAGCTTTAAACTAGGCGATTAAAAGTAGTGTATTTGTAGCATAAGTATGAACATAAAATTAAGCAGCTTACAATCAAATTTGTTGCAAAACCTCACAGCTGTTACTTCTCACACATCTATACTATTATAAAAAAGAGGTGGTGTCTGTGGGTGTGTATGGGAAAAGTAAACGCGAAAACTACTGGTCGGATCGGGCTGAAATTTGGCATGATGATAGCTCACATTCCCGATTAACATATAGGCATATTTTAACCCCAAAAATCCTTTCGGGCTCCGCCCCAGTGGCTCTGGAGTTTCCCATGTTAACCTTATGAGAAATGAAATTATTGAATCTTAACAGCTGTTTCAATTAAACAAGTTGGTTCTGTTCTATGATGTTCAATAGCATTAAAGTTACAAGGATTACCAACAGGGTGCAGCACTAGCACTATTATTTCTTTTACATTTATGACAACAGCAAAAGGTGAGTGAGCGTAGCGAACGAACTTCAACCTGGAGGCGAGTGAGCGTAGCGAACGAGCTAACCTGAAGGCAAGTGAGCGTAGCGAACGAGCTAACCTGAAGGAAAGTGAGCGCAGCGAACGAGCTCCAACCTAAAGGTGAGTGAGCGTAGCGAACGAACTTCAAAAAGAACCGAAATTTCTTAAACCATGTCCTCACTCATAACTGTTATAAGCATTTGATACTTATATGCCAACCCCGTACGAAGGACGGGTACTCTGCTAGTCGTTAATATCACGATCACCAGCGAGCGACTGAAGGGCAGCGTAGTGTGACCATCGAAGTATATAACACAACTGGAATGCTAGGTACGTGTTCACGAAAGCGCGCCGTTGTGGTAGCCTTCCCGCCCCACCATGGGGGACCCAGCGTATTTTAGCCAATTCATCGAATAGTGCGCGAAGTTGTTAATTCACTCCTAGCCTTCAATAACAAAGATTAAGTACAATAATGTTTATGTATTCGTAATCTGCATTAAATGCAGAATGTAATGGTATAAATAAATTTTACTTTTAATTTGAAATAGAATTTCCATAGTTGAAAAGAGTTAACAATTTTTACATTGTGACATGAAAAAGTTAGTATGCGAGGAAGTATTTTATTTTTGGGCCAGAAGAAAACTGTAAGCGACAAAGTTGTAGTTTAAGAGATGATTTTTTACATGTGATCGAGCAATTTACAATTAAGTGTGTATTTTGTTTGTAGTATAGTGATTAATAGCGCGACGAGGTTGATTTTATGTCGCACTAACCTCCTCAGTCCAGTAACTCTTTATGTTTTTGCTACTTGATCATTGTAAAGCTAAATAAATGTTAACCTTTTTTAATAGTTGACATAAGTTAAAGAATACAACTAACTATTCTATGGATGTGATCATATATGTCATTTATTTGTAGAAGATAAATATCAATACCGGTACCGGGCTGCCGCCCATGAATGAAACTTTTAGGGACACTGTTTTAACATTATGAATGAATATAACAGAAATAAGTTACGTGTAACTTATTTTTGGCAGAGACTAACTAATTTAAGGCAGAGATAGAAGAAATTGGTTTTGTTTCACAACATGTAATGCAACCTTTTGCATTACAAGCAATAATATTTAACGATTAACGATTTAACGATATTTAACGATTGTGGGCAGTAAAACATATTCTTAAAAGTACTGTTTAGTATTATCATAAATTAAACATACGAGTATGTTTAATCTATCTCTAATATATAAAATTCTCGTGTCACAGTGTTTGTCTGCAAACTCCTCCGGAACGACTTCACCGATCGTTATGAAATTTGGTGTGTAAATTCTGTAGGTATGCGAATCGGACGTAAACTATTTCCCGTTTCGAAATTCTTAAAAGGGCTCCGCCCCAGTGGCTCTGGAGTTTCCCATGTTAACCTTATGAGAAATGGAATTAATGAATCTTAACAGCTGTTTCAATTAAACAAGTTGGTTCTGTCATAGACTAACCAACACAAGGTTCTGTTCTATGATGTTCAATAGCATGAAAGTTACAAGGATTACCAACAGGGTGCAGCACTATTATTTCTTTTACATTTATGACAACAGCTAATTTGCAACCAAAAGGTGAGTGAGCGTAGCGAACGAACTTCAACCTGGAGGCGAGTTAGCGTAGCGAACGAGCTAACCTGAAGGCAAGTGAGCGCAGCGAACGAGCTCCAACCCAAAGGTGAGTGAGCGTAGCGAACGAACTTCAACCAGGACGTGATTGAGCGATGCGAACGAGATCATCTTGAAAATTAAACGTAACGGTACTTTCTTTCCATCGGTCTGTCTTAGGGGAAACCTATAACTTAGGCGATACGAAGTTCGCCGGGTCAGCTAGTAGTATTATATTAATCAAACCCTTTTCTCTAATGTGTGATGATATGAATTTTAAAACATATACAGATTAACAATGACACTCAAAACACTTTTTTACTAATCGTGTCTTTGCAACATTACACAAATACTCGTATTGTCAAAGGAACACTACTAACAATTCAATTTGTAAATTTATTATTCAATTTTTTTATTGCCTTTACGTTAAATACTTCCTAGGTTTAGTTTTTATGACCTTATCAATTATTTGATCTGAGTCTTAATATTTGAAATTTCTCATTAATTACCAAGCAAAGCAGATAATACACGATCGCTTGTTACATTTAAACCAGTCCCTGTCCCTGTATATAGTCTACATTTTATATTTTAATTTACGGTAACATTGTATGTAAATAGTTTACCTAGAAGGTGATAATACAGTATTTAGTTATGTGTTACCTGTAATAAAAATGTATTTAATATAACTATTGGTTGTACTCAAAACGTGTCTGGGAGTACCGTAAACGTAAAGATCAGCGGAACCAGCAGGGAGGACGGTCCGCGGCGCGATTTATAAATAACCTCTTTGCGTTACTAATTACTCCATTACAAACGACTAGACATTTTTATTTGAAATTGCTTGGTTATATGCTGAAGATCATCTCATAAGCTACAATTTTGTCGCTTGAAGTTTGCTTCTGACCAAAAAATAAAAAAATCCTCGCTTAGTAACTTTTTCATGTCAAGGTGTGATATTTGTTTAACATTTTTAGTTGTTAAAATTCGAATTACGATTTAATTAAGATTATATTTATACTATCAGATTCTGCAGTTAATGCAGATTCCGAATATATAACTTTAATTGCAGTCAACCTATTGTACGCACGGCCAGGACGGTATTAACAACCGTGTGCACGGCTTGAGGAACTGACATATCTGCGTCGAGTCCCCCTTTGTGGTGAGGGAAGGTTGCTGAGACGGCGCGCTTTTTAACCCAAATCTCCTATCTACCCGGTGTTCCAGTTGTGTTATATACTTCGATGAGTGTGACCCGTGCAAAAGCCGCTGCTTGGTGGTGCTGGTGCCAGCCGCTGACCACTTCACTAGCGGCTGGCGAGCAGCCTAGTGTGACCTGTGCGTTTAGGTTTTCGTTCTCTTTCAATCTCAATCCACTTCAATTGCGATGCACAGCGCAGAATGTACGTAACGTAAACTAACGCTTAACGCTAAACGTAACGTAAATCGTAATCGCTATATTTAGTTGTCTTTGTCTTCTTCTTGACACTATGACACTTGTCATCTTGTCATTGTCATCCTGCCTGCATCCTCTCAAACGTTCACGTTGGCGTAAAAGCAAAAAAATTCTAAGTGAAACGATTAAATTTTAGTTAATTTTTAATTTAGCGTCGTAAGCTTGGAGAATTTGAGATCTGTCTGTGTGCAAATACAATTTTATTTGAGTTTTTGGGCTGTATCCTCCGGTTTTCGTGGATGAAGTGATGTCTTGTTCATCTTGAACAGTGTCGGCGATTGACATTTAGGCCTAGTTATAAATTAATTTACACTTTCGTTGTTGCAGATACAACTACTCTTGGTCATTTAGGCTATTTTTGTTTAAAGAGGTCACACGTTTTATAACTTAAAGTTGGCCAATTTTGTGGTGGTTAAAATCCTCACAATAATAGGCCTAATTACCTACTACTAGTAGGCCTGTCTGAAGTGAGTATACTTAAGTTACTACAGCCTAGGACTATTCCAAAATGTTTAATCTGAGGAATATTTCTAAAATGCATAATATTAGGACAGTAAAATGTGATATAAACAAAATGATGAGGCACTCGCCACCTCTATTCCTGGCTTCACAACGGGCAATTCATGAGATCCCTGATAGACTGAAAGAAGTCCCTACTGCAGAAAATCCAAGGTTTTTTGATATGGTTGAATATTTTTTTCATCGTGCATGTCAAATTGCTGAAGATCAATTAGTAGAAGATATGAAGACCAAACTCTCTCTTGAAGACAAAAAGAAGAAAGTTAAAGGAATATTGATGGGAATGCAGCCTTGTGACCACATAATTGAAATCAATTTTCCTGTGCGCCGTGATAGTGGAGATTATGAAATGATTCAAGGCTATCGCGCTCAACACAGTACTCACCGAACCCCTTGCAAAGGAGGTAAGGATGCTTAGCCTCACTGAATAGGCCTACTCTTCTAAATGTAACTTGGGCTAAGTAAGTTAAGTTAAGCTTATCTTGTAGCCTAGGCCTATACGTTTTTAAACAAGTTCTTAAGAATTCATTAGGTAGGCCTTAGTGTAAACTAACTTACGGACAGCCCTAGGCATACAACTGTGTTAAAAAACAAAATACATTAACCATCGAAGTATATTAGGCCTAACACAACTGGAACGCTAAGTACGGGATCACGAAAGCGCGCCGTTGCAGCAGGCTTCCCCCACCACCATGTGGGACCCAGCGAATTTTAGCCAATTCACCGAATAGTGTGCAAAGTTGTTAACTCGCTCCTAGCCTTCAATAACACAGATTAAGTACAATAATGTTTATATTCGTAATTGCATTAAATTCAGAATGTAACGATATCAAAAAAATTTACTTTTAACTTTTAAATAGCCTAGAATTGCCATACCAGTAGTTAAAAAGAGTCAACAATTATTTCTACATTATGACATGAAAAAGTTAGTATGCGAGGATAAGGAAGTATTTTATTTTTGGGCCAGAAGACAACTTTAAGCAACAAAGTTGTAACTTAGTTGAAGAGATGATTTTCAACTTGTGATCGAGCAATTTACAATTAAGTTTGTAGTTTGTTTGTAGGGTAGTAGAGTGATTAATAGCGCAACGAGGTTGATTTTATGTCGCACCAACCTCCTCAGTCCTGCAACTCTTTATGTTAAGAGGCTTCGTGTAATTTAAACTAAACTTATGTGAAATTTTGAAGATATCACCACAATGGTTACGATAGGCAGGCCTAATTTTAAGTTAAGTTAATGGTGAAGACTTAAATGTTGCCATAAGAGTTAACTATTAGGAATTTGCAGATTAACTTATGTTGAAGATGCAGCTTATGCTGTCTTAATATTTTATGCATAGGAGAAGTTTTGTAGCCTAGGTAGGCTACTTAGGATATCATCTTTTTTCTACGATACAATTCCTTCATAAACAAAGTGTGAAAGTTTAGACTTATAGTACCTAAACCAAATAATTTTTGTTACAGGTATCCGTTTTTCTGAAGAAGTATCAAGAGATGAAGTGAAAGCTCTTTCTGCTCTCATGACCTTTAAGTGTGCTTGCGTTGATGTTCCTTTTGGAGGGGCAAAAGCTGGAGTCAAAATCGACCCAAAAAAATACAGTGAGTTTGAACTTGAAAGGATCACGCGAAGATTTACATTGGAGTTGGCCAAGAAAGGATTTATTGGTAAGTCAACTTTAGCTTAAATAAGTTCAAAATTGACTTAAAAGGTCTTGGCTCTCAAATAATCAACTTAATTTTTGTTTTAAAAACTTGTAGTTTAGGAATTTTAGCATGATATGTTTCAACATAACTTAGGTGATTAACTTATAATTAAATTGTAGGCTACCTCCATGCAAAATGTAATAAAGTGTGCTTATTATTAGGATTTATCATTTTCATTGTTTAGATCAACTGGTTTTTTTTATCAATCATTTTAGCCTCTGGATTGCTTATATAATCAAATAGATAACGTAAGGATTGCTAAGGTAAGAGTTTACGTTATCTATTTGGTTTTTTTAGTTTCTGTTTGAAATGGATAAATTAGTAGGCCCACAGGCTTAATTACAGCAATTCTTTGCTCTATTTCAGGACCTGGTGTGGACGTCCCTGCTCCTGATATGGGTACTGGCGAGCGTGAAATGTCGTGGATTGCCGACACTTACGCCAAAACCATTGGTTTGTACAAGATAATGCTCACGATAAAATTAGTCCCCCGGTAAAAGTTTGAGTAGAATTATGAAAATCCTTCTATGATGTAGCCTATATTTACTTAGCCCAATAGAACGGGGTAAGGTTTCTTAACTGGGCTACGCTAATATCAATTGAAACTATCAATTTGATTAGTTAAACCTTAATCCGATTGTTTCATTACCAGCAAGTTTGGTTAGTTATGGTATGACAATTTCATTTTATTATTGATACAGCTAACAATATAGATTATTAATCATTTTCAATCAATAGTTTCAATTGACATTAGCGTAGCCCAGTTAAGACATGTACCCGTAGAACTGTAACAATCTTATTCAAAAATTGACCGTAATTGAAAATAAATGTGCCTCTATTTCATAACTTATAATACAAGCTTTAAACAATTCTTACACATTTCACTCCTTAACGGTTTTTATACAGAATAAAATGGTAGATTGAATCCCTCCAAAAAGTAGAGATCTCATTTTGTTGAAAATAACTAGGCCTATGCCAAAGAAAATTCTGGTAGTCACACACAAGCTCCTAGCAATATAATAGAAGGTCAAAGCAAACACAACACTAGGTCTACTTATAATTTTACTGTTTTGAGAAAACAGAAACCATTAGATTGTGCTGTATGAGAAATAAACTGCCACATTTCTTGTTATGTTTCAAAATTTAAATTATACTGCTCATATGGACTTGCAGGTCATCTGGACATAAACGCTCATGCATGTGTGACTGGTAAGCCTATCCAACAGGGAGGTATACACGGTCGTATCTCTGCCACTGGCCGAGGAGTGTTTCACGGCTTGGAAAACTTCATCATGGAGGCTAACTACATGAGCATGATTGGGACCACGCCGGGTTGGGGTGGAAAAACCTTCATTGTTCAGGTTTGGAATTGACTATATAGTTGCATTTTTAAACTTCTATCTGTACTGTACAACTATAATTCTTGGTAATAGTTGTATATAGCATCACATAGTTAAAATAGTGTTTTTTGTCTAGTTACAGTATTTTTCACACTGAGCCAATTAAATACAGTCCATTTTTGTTTGAACCTTTCCCAATTCATCCTCACTTTTTACCTAGTTCGTAAAGTCATTTCAACAATTAATTGCCGTTGGATTGAAAAACCTAGGCCTATTAACACAATCGTCTAGTGGTATGACTCCCAGTGTTGTTCCTTGAGCCTTCCCCTATCATCCTAATTGGCACTAGTTATATTTACCTCATTTAAATTTTGAACCATCTATTAACATTTATCAGCTGTTCTTAAAACATTTTATCATGTCTTAGGGTTTTGGAAACGTGGGTCTTCACACAATGAGGTACCTCCACAGGGCTGGAGCTACTTGTATTGGTGTTATTGAAAGAGATGGTTCAATCTTCAACCCTGAAGGAATCGACCCTAAGGTACCCAATTTACCTACTCACATTTCTATAGTTCGTTTTTTGTTTTGTGTTTGTAGTCAATGGTTTGTTTTAAACTATTGTATACACATTTTATTCACTATTGCTACAGGGTAATACCGTAGAAATATTTATTAGATACCGTACTAGTGATTGAAACGGTTTGGTTATATCAAAATCTCTTTACGTATTCATTTTGTACACACATACATAGTGTCATAAAATAGAAGTAAAAGTCATAAAAAACAATTCATTGAAGAATGCAAAGGTGCTTTTTGACCATCTTCTATACCATAAACTCTACAATAAAACTAATTTTGATGAGTAACTGGCTTAATATTGTGTTAAAATACATAACACTTAGTATTTATTTTAACATTAGGCTACTCTAAAGAGAAACCAATTTTCTTTAAACTAAAATGAACTTCTAACATTATTTTGAAGTATTTTTTGTCTGGATTACCTTTAATCGATTTTAGTAAGTTAACTGGTTTAAAAACTTGAATCCCATGTGGGTGTTTTTTTTTATTTGTATGTTGTGATATTAGTATACTTTATACTCTACTTCTTGGCAAGTAATTTATAGTTCTGCTGTAGCATTTGTAATGTTATCAACATTTTGATAAAGGGTCTAATTGCTTACTGATAAAACCTATTTATGCAGAATTATTTTGGTATAAAAGTCATTACTATATGTTTTTGTTCAATTAATTCAAGGTTTTATCAATGTTTTATAGGTTAGCTAAAATTAATTGGAAGGATAAAAAAAACTTTTTATAAGTAAGGCAAAAGTAAGGCAGTTTATGTATTAAAAAAAAAAAATTATATGTAACAACAAATACAATTTATGATATAGTCTTTAGCCAAAAATGTGATTAAAGTACTTAAAAAGTTTGCATTGATTGAATATGATAAAGTGACACTGTAATACTGTAGGCCTACTGCAATTCTTACATATTAATGTTACAATTTTATTGCTGTAATATGTGATCATTTCCCATAGTCATGGAAAAATCATCACGGATATCCTGGTTGAATAAATCTCCGGGGTCATGGAAAAATTACCATCTTCTTTGCAAAATATTGAACATCTGCTGTCGTGAAAATGCATTGCGATTGTAAAAGTTTGGCTCTAGAGCAATTTTCTGACTTAGTGCTTGATCTCTCTAGCTTGTAGGCAAGGCTTGACTCGCCAAAAATTGAGCCACTCGCACTGTCACACACCTCCATAAAAAGGTATGGCTTTTAATGGGTCCTAAGGTCAGATATCCCTAGGAGTCGGTTAAATGCCAAGGTCGTTTGTAAAACGTTCTACTGTATATAATATAATCATTTGATTTTGTAGAAACTAGAAGACTACCGCATTGAAACTGGATCAATTGTAGGATTCCCCGGAGCGCAACCTTACCAGGGAGAGAATCTGATGTTTGAAAAATGTGACATTTTCATTCCTGCTGCCCTTGAAAAAGTGATAACCAAAGACAATGCCCATAAGCTGCAGTGTAAGGTAGGACTCAAATAACTAAAAGAAGGCTAAATATAGTTGGATAGCTGAGTTGTTATAGTGCTTAGTGAAAAGGTTGTCAGTTCAATACTGAGAAGTTTTCTGACGATTCAAAACTGGAACCAGCTGCCCTTGGTCTTACAATACAACAAATGGTCTTGGCTAAGTAAACAGCTAATCTTAGACAGTAACATAGCTATCATCTCATACACGAAACACTAAATATATCTTCGACTTAGTCTTGGCCTTAAATTACGCACCCTGGTGAGTCAGACTAGAAATCTAATATAATCTTAGTGATTGGTCAATATTATTGGGAATGAACTACTTTTCAAATCGTTGCATGGTTCAACTAGTATGATCGGTGGACAACAAACTTGAATTCATAGTTTTGATTGGTCTGAAGAGGCCTTCTGATGAATTGATTTTTTTTAACTGTCTTTAATTTTAAGGTTTTCTTGTGTCAAATGTTGAACACATTTTGTTTGTTATCTTACTAATTAGTGTAGTATGAATGAACCTAGAACCAGTTTTTACAAAATCAGACATTACTGCGAGGAGAAACTCTCTCTCCAAGTACGAAATTAGCGTCCACTCGAGGAAAAAAATGTTCTGAAATCTATTTTTTTTACATTAGGGAAGAAGGAATGGGTACATAATGAACTTGTCCACGAAAACCCAAGAAAAGAGTTCCAGGCTGTTGACAGCTCACAAAAAGTTCACAACACAATTAATTTTATATTTTGTCCTACTTCTTTTTAAAGAAGCCCGCTCTGTCAGAGTAAAATATAAAATTAATTGTGTTGTCAACGTTTTGAGTGCTGTCAAATCTTGGGCAAGTTAGTTGTTTATCCATTCATTCTTCTTTAAAGTACCGTATCTAAGTCTAGTGCTCTTTCCTAAAAAAAGCCAAATTTTTAGAATTTTTATCTTAGGTAATCTTTTTCATTATAAATCTTTTATTTTTTATCAGAATAAGTATTCTCCTTGAAATTATTTTGTGCTTCTGATTTTTAGGTGAATTATGTTGGTGATGAATTGTGTTGAAGAAGTATATTTTATGTTTTAAACATCTTGTGTACATATGAAGTGTGGAGTGAAATTGCAAATGTTGACCGTCAAACTGTTTTCGGGACATGAGATGACTCTGTTAAAAATACTTCATTAATAAAATTTGCAAAGTGTAACTTACATTAGAACAATGTATAATGTGGAAAAAAATGACAGAAAAACTGTTATCGAATGAGCTTATTACCCAATGATAAAAATGTTTTTCAGTTTGGTTATTTTGAGACGCATATCCTTATTTACTTAATTTTAAAGATAGCAATGCCATTGTTCTCCCCCCAGTAACAAGTTGCAGTGGTATTGTTTACGAGTTTGAATGAACTCTGCTGTTGCTGATAACTGATGAACCGAGATAGGTTATCTTCCATGCCAACCCGAGCGTTAAATAATATAAAAAAGTTAAGTACCGTCATGCAAGAGTTGTTGATATAATTAGCAGTGTAAAAATAGAAATGGTCAATAGGGCTACACGTTTTGTCTTAAATAATACATCATAGACTTTGTTTTGTTCTAAGATTATGGAACTGCTGATCAATAATGGAATAACTGTATCCTTATCAATGATTTTTTGGTCAATAAACTAATACAGAATAGTTTCAAAGCATTGCAAAATGAATAATTCCAGTATTTTCTACTTTAAGATAGGCTATTTAAATTAGTTTTCCAATATTTTGTACAAGATATTTTAAAATTAAATTAAATATTTTTATCCTCAGCCGTTTTTGTAGCATGATATCATTTTATGTTGTTGACTTAATGAAAATGTAAGTTATGGAGGACTTTTCAATGGTGTCTTAACCATTTGCATGATATTTTACTTGACAAAGACCGGCTTCAGTCGTTCTCCAGTCTTGTTGGAGGCAGTGACCAAAGTAAAGCGGATTTTGCATACATATCGCAGTATGACTGAAGCGGACAGCCGACCTAGTAGGGAAAGTTTATATTATATCAAATCAACGAGAACTAGGCTATGGTAATCCCCGCTAGTCTTAAACATGACAATCAGCAAGTACAAGTTTAATCTTTGCAATTAATATAATTGATGTACGCTTGCTGCTAGCCTCTTTCTCTCTCTCTCTCTGTAAATGTGTACAGCCTTCTGAAAACCTTCTAAGCAGTGTTTCTGTTCGCAACATTTTTATCACAAAAACTGGGAGTTTTTACTATGCGGGGGGGTTAAATCGAGATGCGGGATAAAATGGGAATCTAACGCTTAGTTTTCTTTTTTACTAACTTCTAGTTAAAAAACTAGCCTCAATCGATAGAATTGTTTTAGTATAGTACTATTGCAAGGTTTATACAGTTATTTCAATATAGGTGAAAACGATCACTCGGGATAAAACAGGATTTTTTACAAAAATAAGCAGGATAAAAGAACTTTTCATTAAGCTATAGTAGGATAAAATGGGATTTTCTTGACTAGGTTAGGGGAATTGTTGTTTTTGTTTGTATGGAAATACTGCCCATAAGCCGCTTATTCACATTAACAAACACCTATTACAAAAATACTTTCTTTACGACAGATTATCGGTGAGGCAGCCAATGGCCCGACCACACCGGCCGCGGACGCTATTCTCCTGGAACGCAACATCCTGGTCATACCTGACTTGTACATAAACGCTGGAGGTGTCACTGTGTCCTTTTTTGAGTGGTTGAAGAATCTCAACCACGTGTCTTACGGCAGACTGACATTCAAGTACGAGCGGGAGTCCAACTACCACCTGCTCGGTAAGTGATTTGAGTTTTCCAACAGTGTGTAATTTTACCTAAAACTTAGAGAAACTACATCCTTAGAACTGGCTCTTAGGAAATACATCGGACCTTATCCGTTAATTCACTACCACTATATAATTTGTTTGTAAAATACTATTGAAGTTTTACATGTCTTGGTTCTAAACTCAACCCAACCCAACATAACATTAACTTAGACACAGGATTTGTAGACAATTATGACATTTCAACATGATCAATTTAGTGTCAGTGAATTTATGTAAAAGATCCAACAAGTTACACAATAGTATATTTCGTACCTAGGGCCGAAAATGAGGTTTTGCCGGCTCGAGATAGTTTTTAAGTTCGAGACGAAGTCGAGAACTTAAATCGATCGAGAGCTGCAAAACCATTTCGGTCCGTGGTACGAACGCTATTTTTCACCACACTTTACACTATTACCACTATTCACCACTATAATAATGCACACTGATAGTCAACACAACTACAACTTTAAGGTTATGTGAAGAAATAATTTGAGGAATCAGCAAAAATAAAAATAAATAGTTGCTAGGCAACGGTGACAATAACACAATTCTATTGCAATGCTATGGATTTTGATTGTGTATTTAAAATGCATTATGTTTTAAGTAAGTAAGCGGACAGCTGATTTTGCGGCCCCGGCCTGTAAAAACCTGCTCGGTCCCCAAATTACGATGACAGCTGGCATGGCCAGCAAAACGTAACTTTCAGCCACCAAATAACGTATGTAATACAGCCAAAAACATCATAGTGTGGTGAAAAAATCTATTTGGATATCACAAGAGAATTTGTGATAATTTTCTTCTCTATGAGTAACTTTTCTTTTAGAAGCATTTTTCAAAGTGTCAAGACTGTAATGAATCAATCTTATAGTTAAACAATTGAGCCCATCAAATTAATCCATTTCTTGGTCAGCTCATGTAGAAGATTAATGCTTAATTGCCTATGGCTTTGGTAAATTGCCTAAGAAAGTGAAGTTTTGGTTCTTAAATCTTCAACTTCTTGCATTTTGAAACCCAACCAATGTTTTTTTTAACCTTTTTAACCCTGTATAGGTATAATTTGTTTTGTAAAAAAATTAAAAACAAAAATAAAAGATTTATAGTTTGAGTAGAGTTAAAGAGTGTAATGTACAGTATCTTCATTGTCTTAATTTGAAAAAGAGTTGGACTGCCTCCAGAGTACTGTATTATTCTTAAAAATGGTTTGAATACCTGCATAAAGTAATCCTTGGCTGCTGTTGTGGCAACTAGTTTACGTTTATGGATCCATATTCAGCCCTACAAGGAGTCAATCACACTCACTTTATTTGAAGGCCGTCAATTGTCAGTAAAGTTTGGTAAAAACCAGTAGATGAAAAACAAACAAACAATTGAAATAAATATGTATGCATAAATAAAGAGAGAGTCTAGACGTATAGTTCTTTTGTCCTCTTTGTTTTTCCTATACTGTACGTACATATTCCGTTTGTGTGTGATGTATTTCTTTTATTTGTTTTTACTGAACATTATTGATGGCTTTCAAATGAAGTGATTTATGTTGACCGCTTATAGACCTAAAGATGCATCCAGGGATTACTTAATGCAGGTATTTAAACCATAATAAAGGTTGGTTCATTGAGAAGTTTTATTAAAGTTATTTTTCCATGATTTAGAGTCCGTCCAAGAGTCTTTAGAGAGGCGGTTTGGTCGGGTGGGAGGTCGCATTCCAGTGACTCCTTCAGAAGCTTTCCAGAAGAGAATCGCAGGAGCTTCAGAGAAAGACATTGTACATTCTGGTCTTGACTACACAATGGAGCGGTCAGCTCGAGTAAGTTTACGTCAAGTATTTCTTTAGAAAAATTCTTTTCCTGTATTAAAAATTTATGGACAACTTAAAAGCTTTTGGCGGACATGTTGGCTATCATTATCAGCATCTACTATAAACGATCTATTACCGATACTAAGAAACGGTGGTATCGAGAATCGACACATCCCTAATGGAGTATTTAATTTTTTTAATTTGCTATGGTAACTTTATGTTCAGAAACTTGTGACGCATAGCGGCACGCTATATTTCTTATAGTGTCAGCGCTTCGTGTGGCAGGGCTGCATGGCGAACTCGTCAGCCCACCGCGAGCAAGCGAACGGCTTCCCCCACCGACCTTCCCCAACCTTCTTCCCACCGACCTTTCCCAACCTTCTACCTTCTTCCCATTTCACCGGCATCCACGATCAAGAACTCTCACAGAACAAGTGTTCCCCAGGAAAAACCTACTAAATGGATAAGTCCTTAGATAATTGTTTACAATATATATAGATTAATATGTCAGGCTAGTTAGCAAACAAGGGGGAGACCTACAAGGGTCGCCCCGACATTGAAAATGTAGGAATTAGGAACTTTACTGGTCCAGCCCTTCAGGCTCGGGCCAATTTCAACATGATTAGGGCAACACGTTTTCCCCAGAAGTTTCCATAGTTCTTTTAAATAATTGGTTTGGCATTTCCTATTTAAGTAGTTCAATAACCAGTCAATCATTTCATTAACAATCATTTTCTAGGTCACAAGTTTGGGAAGGATAGTTTTTAGTAAATTAGTTGTATTAGCATAAATCAAAGCTGGCTATGCAAGCTTCCGGTCTGGGTAAAAGATCTCCGTCCTCTGGTCCCCAACACGTCTTCATTAATTAATTTGGTAGCAGAATCAGCACGCTTAATTTAGTTTTTACACCTCAGTCAATCAATCAGTAATCAAATCATCAAACAGTTCCATACAAACTCTAACGGCCACATATGGTAGCAGGCTAGGCCTAGGACCGGATCGCTTTAGCCAGTTTTGTTTTAACATCAACAGTCAGGCAAAAAATTTTTTTTTAAAGGGAACCTTCTGGGGAGACAAGTTTTCTAGCAACAAAATTTCTGTTCATTAGAAAAAATTCTGTTCAGTGGAATAATCGACATTGGAGGGAACTTAGCAAGATTTCATGAATTATATTTTATTTTCAAAATTAAAGCAAAAGCTAGGATGATCAAGGTTAGTGTGACATAGGTAGGGTTTTGTCTGTGTCTGTTTGTTTCAGTGAGAATTGGCCACCTTCTAGCACAGACAACAGGAGGAACAGTGTATCAGTGTATCAGTGTTGTGTTTGAAATTTAAATGTAAAGTAGGCCTAACAAGAGGCAATCTTATGGTCAGTAATGATTATTGGGTGAAGGTCTCTGGTAAGTCAAATAAACCTAAACCCATTTTTTATTAAAGTTAAAAAAGTGGCATTTGGCCAGTTACAAGGTGTTTTTTGCCTAAGTTGTTTATTAATAAAGACCATATTATTTTCACAAGTAGAGTCAACACCTTGTAGTTCAGTGTAGAGTCAGTGATATATTTGTTGTTGTATTATTAAAAAAAGAAAAAAAAATATGTGTATACCGAAACCTTGTGCTCACATTATTATTTTACTGTTCCAGTTGTAGGCCTACTATTTTTGGTAGCTTACTGTGTCAAATTGTAGCTTGTATGGTATTTATTATTGTCTAGTGTATTTTTTGTCTTCACATTTGTTTCATTCATATATTTTGTCACGCTATTGGTCATCCCTAGCAACATTAAATGCAAAACTATCATTAAGTCATTCAGTAAAGCAAGTCTGTTGGAAAGTAAATCTAGGACAATAGGGCCTATCTGAATTTTTACTGCACACACAAAATTGGTAGTAATTAACTGGAAATCTGCAATCAATTTTAATTCGAAGCATTTCTGGAGCAAGAGTTGGTGACCTCAAGAAGTTTATCAAGTCAGACATTTCTGTCATACAGTCGCATATTCCGTTATTAGTCTTTTTAGGTAACAACGATTTTTTGGCGAATGTGGAAATAACAGTTTTTAAGAACACCTTTTTGTCTTTTTTGAGATTATTGCGTCGGAATTATCCTGGAATTGTTATTGTCTTTACGACGTTGCCGCTTTATCCTAGGATAAGAAATTCAGTGTCAGCAGTAAACCGTCTACGTCAAATGAACAGATTTTTGCTCACATTAACTTCTGAGTTCACCAAGGTAATAGGCCTACCTGACGAATTGAACGACGTAAAATATTTTCATGCCTATTATGGACGATCAATGCGTCGTGATGGGATTCATTTCAACAACGGCGCATTTTCAGCATTAGTTCCAGAATTAGAAAGAACTATCTCTCAGTTTCACACATAGGATTTTATTTATTTTCACCTCCTTTTTTGTTACGCTTTTGGTATTCAGTCTAGTTACTGTATGCTCCGGAGAACAGCTTCAGCTACGAATTTTTTTTTCTCACAGGACAAATCATGTCAGGCATTTTCAAAATTTTTAGAAATGCTAAGGAAAAATGTTAAAAAAAAAAAATTCCTCGTTTCCTTGTTTGGTAGCGTACCTAGGTTTTCCCCTTTCCTGCGAATTTTGAATAGTCAAACAGGCAATCTAGAGTTGCGGAAAACCCTAGGCAGTAGGTGTTTTGTGGTTATATATATATATTTTTTTTTCTCTCAGCTTTCTTGTCTCCGAATTTTGGGTAGAATGCCTTCACGGATCTATTCGCCCGACGAGTTGCCAACAGGCACTTCTTGGGTTTGCTCACTAAATGCGCAGGATGCGACCAGTCAGTGTCATGTGTTAGGAATCACGCCCTCGCCGACCTTGTCAGAAAATAGAGCATTATTAAGCGATTTTTTAAAGAAACTTCAACTGAACGGCGGACCCGATCCTCTGCCTATCAACGCCAGGCCGGATTTGACCCGCCCAGCAAGCACCTTGCCAACTCAGGCTGATGGTAAGACAGCCACACTTTTGACCACGCCCCAGGCCCCTGATTTGTCGGCCCTCTCTAGCGTCAACACAGCGTCAGCTAAGGGCGAAGCAACGCCGAGTGAGACTCCTCATGCTGGTGACAATCAGTTGAATGATGCGAATGCTGGTTCCGCAGCCGACGTCATGACCTGGAATTCCGATAGTTCGCATTCTCCTCAAATGAATTGGGCTCAGTTAGTTCAAGAAACCGCGATGGCAGTCGGTCAACAGGTGTTTGCAGCAATGGCCAAAAGCCATTTACCTCCTCGGGCAATGCAGAGCAAAACAAGAGTTTTGGAGGATCTTGCAAGGGACCTGCCAATGACTACGGGTTCTGAGCCGCGCAAATTGACGGAGTTTTTAATGTCTGCCGCCAAAATCGCCAATTTAGGTTTGTTCGACGATGAAGAGGTGTTATTGGCGATTCTCCCCGCACAGCGGAACAGTTGAGATCTTTTTGGCTTAAGGGAGTCGCCGACCACGTCAGCCTAGCGCAAGTGATCGCACGTGTTAGAGATTTTTTTCTTCCTGCACAGATTAGGCATGACATAGTATCATCAATGGTTTATAGGGTTCAACGGCCTTCGGAGTCCATTTCAGAATTTATAGACAGCATTTCTGGCGCGTCGTCACTCCTGGTTTCCGATTTCACCAAGCGCGACGTGCTGGACACCGTGCTGAACGGTTTGAATGCACCGACGCGGGCGGCTCTTGCCGCTTTTCCTGCTGCTGGTAGTCTGTCTGACCTCAGGGCCTTGGTTCCCAGGGTTCAGACGGTCCGCGCGCTGGAGCAGGGGCACGCCGCCTCGCGGCCGGAGACCGTGCAGCGCGGTGTAGAGCACCACCAAAATCATTCAAGTTCTTCGCACAATTGGAATGGGCGGCGAGACAATCGTCGATTTTCAGGCCACAGTGCTCCAAATTTTTCAAATGTTCCACGACAAACTTCCCCACCGCACATTCCCCGTTTTCCATTCAATCAGCCAAATCAACTTCCTTTCAAGCCACACCCCCCATCACAACAATTTTTTCCTAGGCACAATCCTAGATCTCCAACTCAAGGACAGGGAAACTCCAGAGGGGGGCACAGTTAGGCGCCGCAGCGCTCCCCCTAGTTCAATCTGTCAATCAGGCGCCCAGAAAGCCCAACGTGACTAATAAACCCAAGGGTTCACCAAGCATCCCGGCAAATGAGCTTTGCTCTGTCACTCTCGATTTTAGAGGAATGTTTAAGGAGGCCCTTATTGATACCGGATCGTCCTTCTGTTTGCTATCCTCAGGGACTTATCAGCTCTTAAAGCGACACACTAACGCGGTCATCAGTAAATACCCAACTTCCTTCTCAGCCATATCTGCCTCCGGCGAAACCATCAATTTTAAATTTACAGTCAAGATTCATTTCAAGATTAAGCACCTTTCATGGACTTATCCTTTCTTTGTTACCGATAATTTGCCAGTCCCCATTTTGATAGGATCTGATTTTCTAACCAAGACCAAGGCAGTAATCAACATGTCCAACCATTCTCTAAGCTTTCCCTATGGATCCCCTCAGGCTCTAACAGCATTATCACTTAGTTGTATCCCAGGCACCGAGCAGAAATACGACTCAGTCAGTATGGGGGAGAATTTAAATCCACAACAGCGCAAGTCAGTCACTCAGTTGCTTTCTCAGTTCCCTGAAACCATCACCAGCAAGTTAGGCCGAACGAACATTCTGAAATACCATATTCGAATCAAAGAAACAAAGATTGTCCGAAACAAGCCATATCAATACGCTCCTCCCAAGCTTCATCTTATGCGGCAACACATCGACGAACTACTGCAGAAGGGGGTAATAAGACCCTCTACGTCACAGTATGCCTCCGCGGCCTTTTTAGTACCCAAAAAGGGCGGGAAAACATGCATGGTCGTCGACTACAGAAATCTCAATTCCATTTTGGAACTCGACACCACGCCAATGCCCACGATAGAAAGCGCCTTTCAGCATTTAGGTCAAGCTCGTTGGTTTACGCTCCTCGACTTAAACTCTGCGTACAACCAAATTCCCCTTTCCGAAGAGTCAAAGCAATACACGTCGTTTGTTGTTCCTTGGGCTCAATATGAGTTCAATTTCCTCCCTTTTGGACTCGCGTCAGGTAGTATGGTTCTCACCTCGTTGATCGACAAAATTTTCGGCGACATAAAATTCAAGTACATTTACAATTTTTTTGATGACTTGTGCGTTTACAGTGACACAACCTTTGAAGATCACATTGAAAAGGTCAAATCGGTAATTCAACGTCTCCGCGACTCAGGACTCACTGTCAATCCGGAAAAAATTACGGTAGCGTCAAACAGAGTTCAGTTTCTTGGTCATGTCTTCTCAAATCACACCATTTCAATCCATCCTGATAGGACACGTCCCATAGATGAATTCCCTACCCCCAAAAACATCAAGCAGTTGTCCCGCTTCCTTGGAATGACAGCATTTTATGCCCGTTTCATAAAGGGCTATGCCACAATTACCATACCATTAAATCATCTAAAGAAAAAGGGAGTCCCCTTCATCTTCGGTCCCGACCAGGTCACAGCGTTTGAAACCTTAAAGAAGGCTTTGGTCTCCTCCACTATTCTCCGTATGCCCGATTTCAATAAACAATTCGTCGTGCACACCGATGCCTCCGGTTCCTCAATTGGAGCTGTCCTTCTCCAACCTCATGGTGATCAGCTGTTCCCAGTTTCGTATGCATCCCGTGCCCTTAATAAACATGAACTCAACTACTCCACACTTCAACTTGAATGTCTTGCAATAGTTTTCGCCTTACAAAAGTATCATCAGTATCTGGAACACCGAGAGTTCGAGCTTCACTCGGACTGCTCAGCCCTTACTTGGCTTCTAAACCACCCTCGTCAAATTGGCAAAATTGCACGCTGGATCTCCTTCATCAACTCATTCAAATTCAAAATCTATCACATTCGAGGAAAAGACAACGTGATCACTGATTGTCTCTCCCGGCTTTTCGAGAACACCGAGCCAACAGAAACAGCTTCTCCCATTGAACAACCGCCTGTTTTATCTCTTTTTTCCCTACCTGAGGTTTTCAAGGATATCAGCAGCCATCAAATCGATGATCCCGACCTCAGGAAAATCATTAGGTCAGCCAACAAGCCCCCAAATTACTCCGTAGAAAACCATACCCTTCTTTACCGGCTCCCAAATCAAACCAAGGCCAGAGTAGTCGTTCCCCGGAAACTTTTCGACCTTTAGTTTGCCTACTATCACGAGTCTCCCACTTCAGCCCATTTAGGCATCAGCAAGACCCTTGCCCGCATCGAACCCTTTTTCTGGGCACCAGACCTCAAAACCTTCATCGCTGATAAAGTTCGAGCTTGTGTCAAATGCCAAAGGTGCAAGCAAGCACCAAACACAAAGGTGGGGAAACTCTCTTCTGAAATAGTAACTCAACCGTGGGAGGAAATATTCATCGACCATATTGGCCCTCTGCCACTCTCTCTCAACCGAAACCAGTACATCCTAACCGTAGTTGATTCCTTTTCCAAGTTTTGCCTCATGATCCCTGTCAGGAATACCAAGGCCGAAACCACCGCATCAGTGCTAACCAAGCAAGTTTTCTCAATCTTTGGTCCACCAAAATTTCTAGTTTCCGACAACGTCTCCTCCTTCAAGTCAGTAACAGTCAAAAACCTTTGCATGGGACTAGGCATTCAACACATCTACACCAGTCCCTATTAAAGTTAGTAAAGTAGGCTAGGGAAAAGAACTGTCGTCCCTACAAAACTTCCTCTTTTCGCAGGGGGGGTGGATCCCGCTCTCTGCCGTGGTTGGTTCGGGAAATTCAGGGTGTCCGAGGTGCCAATTACAGCCGGGCTGGTCTGAACCTCCAGCCTTCCACATCTGGAAGCAAATCATCCGAAAGTTCCCTCACACAAAAAAAAAAAAAAACAAACAAACACACCTATGATACCCTTCTCCAACCTTTAGCAAAACTGTCTTTTTTGGCTTTTCTTTGCTCCAAGGGGGGGTGGTTGTGACGCATAGCGGCACGCTATATTTCTTATAGTGTCAGCGCTTCGTGTGGCAGGGCTGCATGGCGAACTCGTCAGCCCACCGCGAGCAAGCGAACGGCTTCCCCCACCGACCTTCCCCAACCTTCTTCCCACCGACCTTTCCCAACCTTCTACCTTCTTCCCATTTCACCGGCATCCACGATCAAGAACTCTCACAGAACAAGTGTTCCCCAGGAAAAACCTACTAAATGGATAAGTCCTTAGATAATTGTTTACAATATATATAGATTAATATGTCAGGCTAGTTAGCAAACAAGGGGGAGACCTACAAGGGTCGCCCCGACATTGAAAATGTAGGAATTAGGAACTTTACTGGTCCAGCCCTTCAGGCTCGGGCCAATTTCAACATGATTAGGGCAACACGTTTTCCCCAGAAGTTTCCATAGTTCTTTTAAATAATTGGTTTGGCATTTCCTATTTAAGTAGTTCAATAACCAGTCAATCATTTCATTAACAATCATTTTCTAGGTCACAAGTTTTGGAAGGATAGTTTTTAGTAAATTAGTTGTATTAGCATAAATCAAAGCTGGCTATGCAAGCTTCCGGTCTGGGTAAAAGATCTCCGTCCTCTGGTCCCCAACACGTCTTCATTAATTAATTTGGTAGCAGAATCAGCACGCTTAATTTAGTTTTTACACCTCAGTCAATCAATCAGTAATCATCAAACAGTTCCATACAAACTCTAACGGCCACAAACTGCGGTTGAAGTTCCAATTAATTAACTAGTAACATATTACTTTATATCATTGTAAGACTGACTATTGATAATGTTTACAAGTTACTTTTATATTAGGGCCTACCTGTTTTATGGTTAGTAGGTCTACATGATAGCCTTCTACATTCACTGCCTGAACAATTTTCAGGTGTTACAGAAGTTTATTGTAGGCGATGTTTAAATATTAGGCCTAGTCATAAAATATATGTCTGTCTCCTAAAACGTTTCTGAAGTATCCAATGAATCATTTTCATTGTATAGGCCTAATTAGACGTATTGAATGAGAATGAGATTTTTATTTGCCAGTTGATATTCCATACAAATACATTGGCACGTCAAATTTCAATATTGCAATTCGGAAAGTCTGTCTTGCATCATGTACCTATAAGAATAGTCAGTCATTATTAGTCTATTAATATTGGCCAAAATGTGCTACCAACTATTAGTACTGATAGTAACTTGTGGTTAACTCATGTTTAGGCTATCATGAAAACTGCAACGAAATACAACTTGGGCTTGGATTTGCGAACTGCTGCATACGTTAACTCAATCGAGAAGATCTACACCACTTACAAAGGAGCTGGACTTGCTTTTTAAAATGAAAATCTGAACATATCTTTGGGTGGAGATCTGCAAATCACCTCACAAAATGTTGGTCAGGTTTGAAGCAAAGTACGATTTGTTCTTGAATTTATTAGGTTAAGTTTGTTTTTGCTTTATTTTTTGGTATTGGTGCTTATGATTTTACCTGTATTTGGCGTTTACTTTAATAACCTCACGTGACTCCGCGATTTAAGTGATATTAAGTTTTGAATTGTTTAGTCATTAGGCCTACTGATGCATAAACCATTCTGATCCATTTCTGGGATAGTAATAGTGAGGTTCAAATGAAGAATAATTCTCACTTTTACCTCTTGATCAAATAAGAGTTTTTAAGGCTTGAACACTAAACTATAAAATGACATTTATATACTTACAGAGCCATTTTCTTCAAGGGGTTTTCTTGAAATAAACGTTTGTTTGGTAATAAAAAATCATAACTTCAACACCAATTTTTAACTTTTTATCAATAATTATTAAAATAAAAGGTGTATGTTATTATTAAGGACGTAGTAATATTAACACCTTGAATAACCTTGGTTTAGGTTTACACCTTGAAAAAAGGATTTGAATTGAGATTATAATAATTTTAAATTCCTAAATTTTATTTGCCAATCCTAAGAAAATGCAATATTTGTAAGCATATCCAACAACTAGTTACAAGGGACGTCAATATCAATGCTGTTGCTCAAATAGTAACAAATCAGATGTACGTTTTTGCCCTCACTTATAGTTTGACAATGGTCTTCAAGACCTTATAGAAAAACGTCCTCCCTTCAAGGTTTCAATATTCAATATTGTAAACCTCTACTATATAATGTTCCTTTTTATCACTTTCCCTAGGATGGCCTTACATAACCAAATTTTTGTATTTAATTGTAATTGTATTTAGTTTTATAGTCATTGTTTTTTTACTTTGTAGTTAGAAAGTCATAAATTTTATTGTATACCTAAAACTTGAAGAATTTACAATGTTGTAGCCCGATATTTTTTTTTTAATCGGGAAATTAGACTAGCAAACTCAATTGAGACGGTTCTACTTTTTGATTTGATATTTTTAACTTTAATTTCATTAATGGCAAAACCACGTGTTCTCTTGGTCAATTGAATTGAACTAATTGTAAATTGATTTCAAACCATCAAATAATATTGCATTTCAAACTAGAACTAGACAATGTCAGCAACATTTTCACAGAATCTCACAAGCTTTATATTTTTAGCAAATTTCTAGGCTGTCACAAAAATGTGTTATTAAGCTTTATTTTGGATACAAGAAAGACGATATTATGCGAAAGATCTGCGCTAGTGATTGTGATATTATTTTACTGAATAGGATTTTTTTTAGAAAATTGCTTTCTGTTACCAATTTGAAAGTTTTTGAGGTACTTGAATCTAAAATGTATGTAGGAAGTTTGTTTTGCACTGGTAGAAATTGTGTAGAATATTTGTGGTCACACTGCTCTCTGTTCATTTAATTCACTTAGTGATTTATGGAATTGCACTCATTCAATGTTAGTACTCAAAGTCAGTGAATGTGTGTTACGAACGAGAAGTTTGTGGTAAGGAAGTTTGTTTGAAAAGAGTAGTTTATATCATTTCGTGAACAATAGTTTAAAGTTATACACTTTGGTTGCTTCATAGAGCACTTTTTCAATGTTGATACTTAATACAATTGTTGCAAAGTTGTTATCTGTAATATGTTATACTCAGAATCGTGTACAAAACTGATTTCCGATTTTTTTTCTGGCTCCATCATTCCAATGGTGTATTATACTATACTGTTATACATTCCTGATTGCTATAAGATTTTGTTATGTTTTATCAAAAGCCTATTTTTACCTATTTTTTCCTATTTTTACTTAAGAATGTTTTCCATTAATTGTAATTTCTTAATTCCCATCGTATGTATTTATTCAATTATTTTATTTCCTACAGACCAAATCATTCCATTATTTTTTAATACCTTGTGGAATAAATATTATGTACTTGCAGTTTTAAGAATCTTTTGGCACAGATAAATAATGATTGTAAAGGTAACTTTCAGCCTGTGTTAAAATCCCAATGTCTTCACTCTGATCCCCCTTTCAAGCTAATGTTTATGTGTAGGCTACTCATTTGAATACCAAGCTATCAGCCGTATTGTAACAGCATACGTGAGGTTTACACTTCTGACATAATTATGTTTCCTTTGCATTCATTATTTCTCTGTGTTATAGGTTATTGTTTTTGATGGATTTTATTTAAGTATAATTTTTAATTTTCATAAGCTCGGACGAATTTCTCTGTCCTTGATGTATACTCTTAGTTTGTAACTTAACCACACTGTGCCAACGTATACATTACAACTTACAACTCGTTGATTATATTTTATACTGATGTTGCTCTGTGTAAGATAAATCCATGGAATTACTACTCTGTGTTCATATACAAATTTTCCAATTTAGTTTGGTTTATGATTGTACTTGGGCATTTCCAACCAAGCCACGAATTATCAATTTTAGTGTAATTGTGTTAATGTTTTATAATTCTATTAAAATGCTGTACTTAAAGTGTCTGTTTTTTCCTTGCAAAACACTGTGACATATTACATATTTTACACACAATTACAGTCTATACTTACTGTGCAATAAGTACAATACTTCATAGAGAATGCAATTGTGTTGTAATTGATTACACTTAATGCAGAATCGTCTGTTAATAATGGCGATAAGGAATGAAACCTGCAACTTAAATGAAAGGTACTAGCTTCTTTCTGTATATTTAGTGTGCTTTTACGCTACAAGTGGAATTACTGAACTCTTGATTCATATTTTGAAACTAAAGGAAAGCCAATTGGATAGTAAGGAATTATATGAAAAGAAATAGAGTTCAGCCAGCTTACCTGAGAAAATTAGAGTCTACAGGCTAATACATACACAATAAAGGAACACAAAACAAACTTTAAGGACTTGGACTGACATTTCTCTTCTACCTTCTCTCTGAAGAAGTCCTACTTCAGGATAAAATGTCAGTGTTGTGTTTTGTAGTTTCTTCTATTGTTTATTTATTAGCTCCTGGACTCTAATATTCTCTGGTAAGCATAGCTGAACTCTATTCCTTGCACTTAAGATTCAGTTTTGGAAAGTGTGTATAACCAAGGGCCATCACGCGAGCTCATTCACAGGCGATAATCTAATACCCAGCTTGTATACTCTACTTCACCCAGCGGTAAAGACACCGACTTGTCCAACTTTGCTTAGGCTTGTCAAACCAATCAATTTTAGGACACAAACACCCAGCAAAGACACATCACACAAAACTTTGAAAAAGCGTCTATGCGAAGGGGTATGAAACTTGTCTGTTGTATTGGTTAGTGTGTTTTGGTTTGGACCCTTTTGTAGATTGTATTAACTGCCTTCTTAAACAACCACATAAGCCCTGTACAAACTCACTTAATGTCAAGTCTATCACATGCAAAGAGCCAGCATTAAACAGGAACTTTTCGAGGTATAGGTAACAGACCAATATTCCAGTTTTATGGCAGTTTTTGCACGAACATATTAATGTTTTAATCTTTAGTAAGAGAGCCATTAGAATTCTTTTGAGAGGCAGATTATGGAAACTAAGTTTATCGAATAATTTTATTACAAACGTCTGTAATTTAATATGGGTTCAAAAATTATTGCTGTGTCTGTACGACTTAACTAGGACAAAGCTAAAGTGTAACACATGCTACTGTACTAGGGTTACAATTAGTTGAGGCCGTTTTGCTTTGCGGAGATCATGTATTTAGTTCCATATTAGCTTGTTCTGCACCACGTGTTGTCCCACATTTTAAACTTGGTTTTTGTTTCAGGACAGGTAGGTATTAAACAGTTAGTAATCATAAAATGTCTACTGCAGTTAAACTTTGAAAAAAAGAGTTGCTGCAAGAATTTTCTTTTACTTAGAATTATAATTTTGATTGTATAGAAAAGCAGGGTTGACAGTAGCTGTTTGAATGTACACGAATAGTTGGTAAAAGATTAATTGCAAATAGACTGCAGTAAATAAACATCTAGGTACATCAAATGAGATGTGAATGTAAATTTTTAACACCTTATTAATCTGTATATATTATCTTTGGTTCCTCTTTACTCTTTAGTTATATCCAAAAGTTTCCAAAATTTTTGTCATGTTTGTTTATAATTAGGGAAAGAAACTAAGGTTTTTAAGACAGATACCTCAAACTCAAAGAAACCTATTTTTATGACTATTTATATCCATACCATTTATACTTTTGTAACTTTTCCTTTAGTTAATAATGTTACCCAGTTTCAAGAAATTTAGCAAAGTTACATTTAATTTTGCTGGTTGCCTTGTGTCATTGAAGTTTCTGTCAAAAAAAATCCATAAAGTATTTGAGATCTTCTTTGCATTCTGCAAAGAATACCTTGTCATCTACAAACCTCTGCACTAATTTAAAATTGCCTATTTTGACTTACAGTTTTCCTTCCTAATCTCTTTTGAATGTAAAATAAAACTACAGGGATATTAGCGTTTTAACTGAATATAAACCTGCCAAGTTTAAATAATTGAAAGTTTCTCCTAAAACTTTACTGCTAGTTTATATACCCTATCCACTGTGTTCATCCAACAGGAAATACAGTTGTAAAAAATTGTAACAGGAACACAAAGGGGTTATAAAGTATTGAAGGATGAAGTAACAGTTGTGTCAGCTGTTACCATGTTTGCCAACTTTCACACACGTGTGTCAACCAACATGTGGATGAGTAACTTTTACACTCCAGATAATGAATTCTATTTTGTTTCAAACTAATTTCAACCCAAAATTTAATCTACGGGTTGAAAGTTTTTATGTAAATTTACGGCTTTGTTCTTAAAGTCCATTATTGCAAAAGACAATTATTTTAATTTGGAGGTAAATATGGACTTTTCCTATCGCTAGTGTTTTAAACTAGACTACGTTTCTAGTTTGGGAGCTGCTCCAGTTTTCAAGTAATTTTAAATCCTAACCTTACATTAAATTAGGGTTACATAGATTGTTACCCAGATACCGAATTTTGACAAAATCGGACCACAAGTACATAGGTATAACTAGGATGTCCCTAAAGGGGAAAGGGGATGTCTTGCAGGTATTCCATAGCCCCCAGGGAAGAGAGGGGGTCGGGGGTCTCCCTCGAGAAACTTTTGAAAATTATACCTGTAAACTCACATATTTAGAGACATATACAAAGATTTTTTAACTGTAGAGAATAATTTATAATTGTAAAAATAATCACGTTTAAAGGTCAAGGGGGGTTTTTAACCCCTAACCCCCCCCCCCTGGATACGCCACAGCACAAGTAGCCTGTACACATCCACTCACTAACAGACATGACTTCTAAAACCACTTTTTTGGGGTTCAAGGGTCCAAAACTGATATTTCCACTCAAAACTAAAAACGATGGGTACTGTCTCTATTTACTATGTTTAGTGGGGAGGGGGGTAGAAAGTAAAAACATAAATTATAAACACATTACTCAGTTTTTTTTAGACAGTTTTGTTAGAATGAATCTGTTTTGTAGTTTCTAGACAGAATCAATTTTATGACTGGTTTTCCTACAGGAATATGCAAATGTTGGACACAGAGTTGTCTGACGAGTGTCAAGTGCTAAGACAAAGCCAGTGTTTTACATTACAATGTGGCTACCAGCCAGACCCTGTCCAAGCCAAGCTGCCATGAATAATCATATCCTCGCTGCCTTTTTATTTTCTTATCATTTTACTATAAAAATATCCACATCAAAATCGTTTATCGAAGTGCATGTTCATCACAATCTATTCAAGCAATGACCTGATATAATTCAAAACCAATAAGTAATACAATCTTAGTCTCGGTAATACAATAAGTAAATTTATGAAATAATTTCATTTTATAGTATCGGTACTGTATATTGTTTGTTTAGTCGTAAACAAGTTTTACTGTATAGACAGACTCAAAATACATAATTCTTAAAAATCCATAGGTTAATCAAATTAAGCTTAACTAAACTCTAAGAAACTTCATGTTTCTTATTCTTACTACAGGATAGTTTTAGAGGGTTGCAGCATTATCACATACATAAAACTCATTGGCGGGATTTGAACCTATGAAACCAAAGTCCCGCTCCACCACTGTAGGCCAGCTTGCTATGGTTTGTTACTATCAGACTAGGATAACGAGAAAGAAACAATTAGAAATAGAGTGAATGATTTTGTTTGGACTGATTAATAGGAAGATTTTAATCTGCAAGTTTCATGGAATTCATAGTACATTTTAAAAGACTAGTTATCTCAACTTTATTAAAACAATTAAAAAGTGTGGAACCATAGTTGACCTTAAGAAAGTGAACTATAAATAACTAGTTTTTATGTTTTTGGACCCAAACACTATTGTTAATTCTATCAAAAACCAACTTTTTGTTAGATAGCTCACCATCAATCGAGACAAATGATATCAGGATCCATAATTGTTACGCATTGTTTGGGATTGGACCATCAAATTTTGAACTTGAAGGCAGCATGATAACAACTCGGCTACCCAGTTGTAAAGTTTTGAAGACAACTAAGTTTTAGAAAAAAAATTACGTCATAAAAAACTAAAATCACTGGGTCTTAATAAGTTAAACAATATTTTATAAAACCTAACATAAAATAAAACTCACATTTATTTTACCAATTTAACAAAAAAGTTATCCAAATTGTTGACTCCGAGTTTTATTACTATGAAAGGTTGAAAATTCCAACAAACCAAATAAAACATCTTCATGAACATTTCTTAGACGACTACAAAATGTGTAAGTAATAAACAACAGCAATATTACCAAGAAAGAATAGTTCTAGAGTTCACTTACCCTAGACAATAAAGAACCAGAACAAATGCTGTGATTTTACAGCGGAAAACGAACATTTTCCAGGGCCTGCAGACCTATTCTGATGCAAATAACCTCCCCTCTTGAACCTTAGTGTTCTGTAAATTACCTACAGTTTTTGTAAAATGCTGGTTTCTAGTTAAAGTATATGTAGAAATATTTAATGGCAGGGTAGCCGAGTGGTTATAGTGCTCACCTAACAATCAAAAGGTCGTTGGTTCGATTCTGGAAAAGTCAGTAGCTTTTTGATGGTTCGAAACTGGTACCAGCTGTTCCTGATCATTGGGCAAATAGTCCAGGCAAACTAAACAAACTTACATAGGGACCGTTAAAAAAATTGCAAGAAAACGTTTTATGGTTTTATTTTGTAGAGTTGGGTTTGCAGAATGACATACTAAAAGTTGCCAAAAATCGGTGCACGAGAAAACCACTAAAATCACAATTTAAAATGGCGGCTTTTTTCAACATTGGACAAATTAAAAAAACATATTTCACATGCATTTGCTATGCACATTTTTCGAGATATTGACTTTGGGACCACCGCCTGTATTTATTGAGTGGTTAGTACTTCATTTTGATAGGGAACATGTTTTTGGCCGCCATCTTGGATCCGCCATATTGGACATAGATAATTTGTTTTCAATGTAATGATAGTGTTGTGACACATCATTACCAAC